GTTCAAATCATGCATGCCTCGCTTCTTTTCTTTTTTGTTTCTAAAGCTTAAGATTCCCACACCGGTGGAAACAGAGGATTTACTACTCCTTCGTTCCTATATACACGCTACTCCTTTGCAGATGAGGAATACGCGAAGTGACGAACCAGGCCTGCTTCATAGCCTTGCCCTAGTCCAATTTGTTTGTAATTCATTTGGTTTTATATCAAAATCGAACCGAAACCACTTAAATAATACTACTCTCTCTGTCCCGCTAACATTGGGACAAGAGGAAGTGACACGCAAATTAGTAAAAAGTGGTTTATGTGGTTGATATTGAATTGATAAAGTAAGAATAAAGTAAGAATGATTTAGAGTCACAAAAACTTTACCAAATTTGGTATGAGACGATCTTAATGGGACGGATCAATAAGGTAAAATGGGATAATCATAGCGGGATGGAGGTAGTAGTATACTACTACAAAAAAAATTTGGGCCCTTCCAATTTTTTGGGCCCTGTGCGGTTGGACACCCTTCACACCACTAGACCTGTCAACGGGTCGGGTACGGGCCGGAACATAGTATCCCAGACCCGGACCCATTAGCCTCTATAGGGTTCCAGACTCGGCCCATATACCCGGTGGGTCTAGAACTAATGTTCCGGACCCATACTCATTGGGTCTCGGAACCGGGTCGGGTAGACCCGACCCGTCTCACGAAAATCCAATTCTAATTTCTCAAAAAAAAAAACAGGATCTCTTACTACCAAGTTCTTTTCTGGCAACAATATGGCACATGAACTGTAATTACTTGTCTATAATTACTCAACCAAACACAACAATTATGAGTTGGCTTATAATTTACAAGATAGGTAGTGTTAGAATAAAGAGTAAAATCAATGGCTTTGGAAACTGAACAGGCTTTGTTTTGAATCTTATGCGGTTTGTGTACTCTAGGGTCTCTAGGGATCCTTCTTCGGATTTATTAAACTAAATAGTAATGTGGGCGGTAGCTAATGTGATATGTATATTAGACTAATGTATATATATAAATAAATATTAACGGGTCAGGTCCTAAACGGGTCAGAACTACATATACCATACCCGACCCATTAAATAACAGATTCGGATCCAGGTCTGGGTAACAGAATTAAATGTAGACCCATACCCATTAAAAAAAGACGAATCCGGGTCGGGTTTGGGTCTAGACCCGACCCATTGACAGGCCTACACACCACCAGGGCCGGCCCTGCCCTCTGAAAGCGTCGAGGAATGACATCAACTCGCATCCCGCCATCTTGTCCACCAATTGATCTATATTGGGGAGAGGGAACGGGTCCATAGGGCACGCCTTGTTCAGGTCAGTGTAATCAACGCACATTCTGAATGTTGGCGGCTTCTGGGCGAGGACGACGTTGGCCAGCCATGTCGGGTACTCCACCTCTTTGATGTGGTTGATTGAGAGAAGCATGGTGATCTCCCCCTTGACGAAGTCTCGTCTGTCAGCTGATAAGTAACGTCGCTTCTGCTTGATGGGCGTGGAGACCGGATCGACTGACAGCCGGTGAGTGATCACCTTCCGGCTGATGTCTGGCATGTCGTCCGGGCCCCATCCGAAGATGATGGCATACGACCTTAGGACTAGGAGGATTCCATCATGTTGGTCCTGTGGGAGTTGTTTCCCGATTCTCAGGACCCGTTCCGTCCGGGAGGCATCCAAGGGGACCTCCTCGATCTCCTTTGTTGGTTCAGCATATGGCCTCTCCTCGTCCTTGGCGACAGTCGCAGTTATGGTGTCAATTCTCTGTCCGGCGCTTTTGGCCGGTTTTGTCAGCTTGAGGTAGCACGCCTTAGCTATCCTCTGGTTTCCCCTGGCGTAGCCGATGCCGCCACTGGTGAGGAACTTTAGGCATAAGTGTTTCATGGAGATGATGGCCTCCAGGTCCTCCAGTGCTGGCCGCCCCCAGATCAGATTATGGGCGCACCGAAGGTTGACCACCATAAACTCAATGTCGATCCTGGCGTGGTGCTGGCTGTCGCCGACTTCCACGGGGAGGACTATCGTGCCCTCGGCGTCGATAGAGTCCCCGGTGAAGCTGGACAACGGTGTCTTGATCGGCTTGAGCAAAGCTTTGTTCAACTTCAGCTGCTTGAAGGTGTCCAAGTACATGGCATTGACGGAGCTCCCCGTATCGATGTAAGTCGGTGGATGATAGAATCACCAATCTCACACCGGATGATGAGGGTGTCCCTGTGTGAAGCGGGCCCCGGGAGCAGGTCCTTATCTGTGAAGGTGATCGCCTCCGTCTGTTGCTTCTTTGGCTGGGGGGAACGTGGGACACCTCCCCAATGTAGAGGGATTGGGCCCATTTCTTCCTTTGGGTGACGAAATCCCCCCCAGTGTTCCCGCCTACGTTGTTCTTCTTCTTCGAAGGTTCTTCAAAGTTCTCCTCGTCATCGCTGAGCTTACCGATCTCCCGCTTTTTCGTAGAGGGTTCGCCCCCAGGTTTGTTGGTGTTTACCCACGTATTTTTGTGCGGGCCACCTTTAACAAATTGGGAGAGTTCCCCCTGCCGAATCAGGCGCTCGATGGCTTTTTCAGCGTGATGCAGTCGTCGGTGTTGTGGGAGGTATTCCTATGGAACCAACAATAAGTGCCGCCCTGATGGATGGCATGTATCTCCTTCGTTGGCCGAGGATCACGCTCAATGAGATCGTGCTCCTTGGCATAGTCGAGGATGGTGCTGACCGAGTGTGTGAGTGGGATCTTCGGTCGTTCCATCCTCGGCTGCCAATGGCGGTCTTTCTTGCTCTGCCCGCCAGAGCCAGGGCGGCTCTGGCCACCCTGACCGGCCAAGGGCGTGCCCTTGACCGGTGAAGGATTTGTCTTCTTCAGGGGTGCCCGCCGTCCTTCTTGTGGTTGTGGAGTTCGTCGGCGTCAGCGTACAAACTCCCCCGCTTGAGTGCCTTGGCGTATGACCTTGGAGGGTGAGTGATGAGGCTCCTTGCATATGGGGTGCTGCGGAGAGCCCCCTGATAGAGGACGAGGAGGGCGCGATCGTCGCCCCCTCTACCTCCTCGGTCTCCTTCGTCCACCGATCTATGAATGATCGTCGCCCCCTCTACCTCCTCGGTCTCCTTCGTCCACCGATCTATGAATGATCTACGAGGAGGGCGCGATCTATGAATGATGGAGAGTAGGTGGGTGAAATACTTCTTCGCACGCTTCCTCCCGGCAAAGTGAGTGAGGAAGCGTTGGGCAAGATCCTTCCATGAGTCTATGCTTCCTTCGGGGAGCACGTTGAACCACTCGTACACTGGCCCTTCAAGGGTGGAGAGGAACCAACGGCAGATGTATTCATCTGACGCGTTCACCATCAGCATGTTGTTTTGGTAGCGACTGAAGTGCTCCTGGGGGTCGGAGCGGCCGTCATAAAGCTTGATGGCGTTTCCCTGGTACTTCTCGGGGATAGGGGCCGAGAGTACCCTGGTGGTAAAGGGGGTCCTCGTCCTGACCTGGATGATGGGGTCCCCTCGTCCCTCGGCCAACTTCCTCTCAAGGATAGTGACCTTGTTCAGAAGGGCGTTGAAGCCGGGATCTCTGGACGAGTTGCCAGTGGGCATGGCGGCCAGCTGTTTCGCCTCCATTTGGGCGAGCCTTCGCTCGAGCTGGGCGATCACCTCGTCCCTGGCGGCCGTAGTGGCGCCCTGTGTTTGCAAGCGGGCTGCATGAGCCGTGTTGATTTGATGGCGGGTATCATCCTCATGCAACTTCCCCTTGCCTTTGTCCAGGCGGGGCCGATCCGCTGTCCGGGATACCGACCCCAAACTTTCCCTGGGCGAGCCAGGCTCACGCCGCCCAATCCGCCCCGCCATCCTCTCCGAAGCAGGTCGACGGCACGTGTCACCTAGCCTGTTGAAGGCTGAGGCTTTTCCACGCGCTGGGGCCGGTCCAGCTCGAAGTGGGGAAGCAGGGTGGGAGTGGGACGACGAAGTGTCCTGGGCCACCACCCCTTCGTCGTTGCCTAGTTTGATGGCCAACGGCTGGGGCTGAGGAGGCGGTGTAGTGTTCTCCCCATTCCTTGGCATGAGCACGTTGAGGATTGTGGGGTTCTGAGCCAAGCTAGCGATGATGGCCGAGAGCACGGCCTGAAGCTGAGGGTCAACGGCAGGAGAGGCTGGTTGCGCCGAGGCATTGTCGCCTTTCTCCGCGCGCTTCTTGTCCAAGCCGAGGCGGGCATCAGGGCCGCCGCCGTTGAGCTTGTTGCGCAGGTCTCCTGCGAGGTCGATGGCTTCCTGAAAGACATCCCCCTCGGCGGCCTTGTCGGCCGTGGCGGCCTCCTCGTGCTCCTGGTTCTCTTGGGCCTCAGGGATGGCTTTGCCGAGGAGGTTGCGGTTTGACTTAGTTCTTCCCATTGTTCTAGCTGTGCTTGGTAGCGCCGAAGGAGGCTAACTTTATTGTTCTAGCTCTCAATGAAAGAAACCAAATGATAAAATAAATCTAGAGAGAGGTGAGAGCTAGAGAGAGAAGTAGTATGATTGCTCTGTATTAATGAATTCTCAGAACCCCTACAACTACTCCCAAAGAGAGTATTTATAGGGAAAATTAGGGCTGGGCTCCCAAGTCTTGGGCTTGAGAGACCCGTTTACAACTGGACCGCTATTGGGCCGGGTACAAAATAAATGATAGAGTATACAAATGATTAAGTACAGAATCCTGTTCTGGGAGCCCTTCATGGTTGACGAGGGTCACGGCCGACGAAGACCGAGCCGATGAGGTCACCCGGTTCTTCTGGCTTCCGGATCATATTCTGGGTTGACTTCGTTTCAGCCGATGAGGGTCATCTGGCTGACGAGGGTCCCACTAGGTGGTCGTTGTGTCTTCTGTCCTCTTGAGTATGTGAACCCTGGGGTCCAGGCCCATATACTCGATCAGAGAGGGAACTTTGTTTTAGTATAACACCACTTAACCCTTTATTCCGTTGTATATGTTTGTTATCTCTCTTCTCCATCCGTCTGCGAGTTTATCTTACCGTCTTCCCCACACAATGAGTGAACGTCTTTGGCATAAAAGACGGATTATATTGAAGTGGATATAATAGAGCTAAAGTCATAGAAGACTACTACCAAAGGTTTTAGCATCAATCTAGTGGTAAGTTATTTATATCAGATCATTTTGAAAGCTTTTTATTGCTAGCAAATTCAGAATTTTACTTTTAGTGCGCCATTTTGAGTTCCCTTCCGCACCTTTTACCAATAGGAAAGGAAAGATCTTATTCAAAATCCTTTTTTCATGATCTAAAGTTTGCAGAGCTTTCATTTACCGATTCTTTCAAATGGGGAAGTAATAAAGAGAAACTACTTCTTGACATATTACGAAAAATATTCTAATGCATACCCACATGATTAGGTTTCGACTTATTTTGATAAATGGCTCACTGCATATTGAGTGCTTACTGTTAAGTTTAGTCATTTAATTTTTTAAATGTGATACAATTCTATTTATTTAAAATAATACCAATTCACTAATAATAAATGGTGTTAGGTCGCATGATGGATTTTATTAAGCTGAATTATCATCATGGAGGAGTGTTACTAAAAACACCACAAATAGAGTATGTCGGAGGGAAGGAAGAACTTGTATGTAATATAGACCCAGAGAAATTAGACTTTTGGTAGCTATTTGATTTGCCTAAAGAGAGGGGTATAGCTGTTGGAATTGAGGAGTTTTATGACCTTATTTCTGGTGAGTCATTAAGTACGTGTTTGTATCAAATAATTTGCGACAATGAGGTTGCTGAAATAGGAAGGTTAGACATGAAAGCAAACATAATTGACTTATATATTGTTCATAAGGATGTGTGAACTCAATACATTGCTGAAGTTTTACAACCCTACGTTTCTAGAGGGAAAACGATAACTCAATAATAGGTGTTGAATTCTCACATCGGAAACTTGTGAAGGAATTAAGTGATATATTAAGATCTAAATTACTCCTCCTATCAAGTTGACCTTTGAGGATAGAACTTCGGGTCTTAACATGGTATCAAAGCCCAATTGGTCCATGGTGTGGGTCCCCTTATGAAAAATGATGACACGATTATTTAAAAAATGACAATAAAGAATCAATGAAAGAATCAATGATGACACGATTCAGACGAAGTGTATGGTCGTGACGAGGGGTGTTGAATTTCTGAAAGCTAAACTGATTTAGGCGGAATGAATCTTTCATTCAGAGACTGTCAAGTTAAATAGAATACATCACTAACAACTAACTCCTAAAAAATAGGATCTAAGCTAAAACTATGCTAACAACCCTGACTAAGTAAAATAGTCATCTAATTACAATTAAATAGATATGTACGAGTAAATTTAAAATAGCTAACACTCCCCCCCAAGCTGGAGCAAAGATATCAATCATGCCTAGCTTGACTAAAATTTCTTCAAACATTTGCTTGAAGAGCCATTTAGTTAGTACATCTGCTAGTTGCTCAGTTGTTGGCACATAAGGTATGCATATTTCTCCACCCTCAAGTTTTTCCTTGATATAATTATGATCAACTTCCACATGTTTAGTTCTGTCATGTTGCACTGGATTATGTGCTATGCTAATGGCAAACTTGTTATCACAATATAGTCTCATGGGCTTCTCTAATGGCATCTTCAACTCGGTCAGCACACGTCTTACCCATATTACTTCACAGATCCCTTGTGCCATTGCTATAAATTCAACTTCTGCACTACTTCTTGATACAACATGTTGTTTCTTGCTTCTCCAAGTGACCGGGTTCCCCCACACAAAGGTACAGTAAGCCGATGTAGATCGTCTATCAATACTACTCCCAACATAGTCGGCATCTGTATACACCTCAACTTGTCTGTTTTGGGTTTTCCTGAACAAAATTCCTTTTCCAGGGCTACCTTTAAGACAGTGAATAATTCTGTAGACAGCTCGTAGATGTTCTTCAGTTGGGTTATGCATGAACTGGCTGACTAAGTTTACTGCAAATGCTATGTCAGGTCTTGTGTGAGCTAAGTAGATAAGCTTCCCCATAAGTTGTTGATACTTGGTTCTCTCCACAGCTTCCTCATTTTCACTTCTTCCAAATTTTTGATTTGGGTCAATTGGAATTGAAATAGGTTTACATCCAAGGAGACATGTTTCTTTCAGCAAATCAAGTACATATTTCCTCTGACAGATCACAATTCCTTTCTGGGATCTAGCAAATTCCATACCAAGAAAGTACTTGAGATTTCCTAAATCTTTTATCTCAAATTGTTGAGCTAGGAAATTCTTTAAAGCTGCCAATTCTCCCTGATCATCTCCTGTCAATACTATGTCATCCACATATACAATTAGTACTGCAACTTTACCTTCTGCACTATGTTTGTAGAACAAAGTGTGATCTGATTATGCTTGAGTGTACCCTCGTTTCTTTACATTTTTTTCAAATCTTCCAAACCAGGCCCTAGGAGATTGTTTGAGTCCATATAAGGCCTTCTTCGGTTTGCACACCTTTCCTGCAGTACTATCAGTATCAAATCCAGGTGGAACTTGCATAAATACTTCTTATTCAAAGTCTCCGTTAAAAAATGCATTCTTAACATCTAGTTGTAGTAGTGTCCAATCCAAGTTTGCAACTAAAGAAAGAAGTGTTCTGACAGTGCTTTGCAACTGGAGCAAATGTTTCTTCATAATCTAGCCCTTTTTTTTTTTTAAGAAAAAAGGAATTTTATTGAAAAGGAAAAGGAAAACAGTACAGAGATGAAGAAAGAAAATAAAAGAAAGAAAATAAAACCATACAGAGAAAGTAAAAACTAAAACTACACCCAAGGAAATTCTCTGGCCTGAGACCTAGTAGTCATGTTGTGCCGCCTTTTATTTTTCTGAGATTTCCTGTATATTTTGATCTGCGTGTTTAAGTTTTCCGTCGGCAGGCAATTTTCAGAGGTAACAAACTTGGATTTCCTGCAGATCGCTCTGTTGAATTTTTATTTCTTAATTTCTTCTGGAGTTGAGATAAGGGGACGACGCTCGCTTTCAGTGGCATGTCCCAAAAAGTCGTCCGTGAAACCAGGATCATCTGATTGGTAAAAGGTGTTTGATGCGTCCGAGTAGGCCTGGACAGGTAGGGGTCGCTCTACTAGAGTAGGAGAATTTTGTTTCTCTGAGTATGCTTCTCGAATTTGGGATTCAAAAATAAGTTTAGATATAGATTTTGGTTCCTCTGTAAGAGTCATGGTTTCTTGTAGCCTATCCATTGCTGTCTCCAACACATAATCTAGCCCATATGTCTGAGTGAACCCTCTAGCTACAAGTCTAGCTTGTGCCTTTCTATTGTACCATCAGAATTGTACTTGATGGTAAAAATCCATTTGCTATCAACCAGTTGTTTGTTGGGTGGCAGTTTTGTCAATTCCCAAGTTTGGTTCTTTTCTAATGCCCTCATTTCCTCTAGAACAACCTCTCTCCACTTTGGAATACTTTGAGCTTCATGTATCGTTTTAGGAGTTTCATCATGAGTAATGCTAGTGGTGAAGGCTCTAAACTTTGGTGATAGGTTATGATATGACACATAGTTACTGATTGGGTGTTTGGTACATTCTCTAACTCCTTTTCTAGTGGCTATTGGTTCATTGAGATCACTTTGGTTAGGCATAGAAACTAACTCAGAAGTAGGATATAAATTACTATGGTCAGACACATGATATTTTTCAAAAGTTGGATGGAGAATAAGTGTATTACCTGGAGCAGGACTTGGGGTAGGGATTGGTTGTGCATCAGTGGGTTGTGGAATAACCCTTTGCCTCTCTTTCCTTCTTGAGTAAACACGAAGTTCAGTAGTTGGTGCCATGTTTCTCATAGTTGCAGAATCTTTATGAGGGGTAGAATTATTTGTTATGGTATGTTTGTCATTGGCTAACTCAGTTTGGTCATTAAAAACAGGAATAGGAAGCACACTGCAGTTCCAAAACTTATCTTCATCATTCACTAAATGCTCCCCCTGAAGAGAAGTTTGGTTAAAAAAGGTTAATTTTCAAAAAATGTGACATCCATACTGACAAACATTTTACCCGAGCTCACATCAAAATACTTATAACCTTTTTAGTGTTTGAAACACCTAAATATATGCATTTGATAGCTCTAGGATCCAATTTCCTGCGATTTATAGCATAATTATGAACAAAACTAGTGCAGCCGAAAACTTTGTGGGGTAATTCAGTAAAAAAAATTATTATGAGGGAAGAATGTTTGTAGAGTTTGTAAAGAGGTTTGATAGCCTAGAATTTTTCTTGGCATCCTATTTATTAGATAAGCAGCATGAAGTAAGGCCTCTCCCCAAAAACGTTTTTGAACATTCATTGAAAACATAAGATCTCGAGTAACTTCTAAAAGATGTCTATTTTTTCTTTCAGCAATTCCATTTTGTTGAGGTGTAACTACACAAGAACTATGATGGATTATGCCTTGTTTGATCAAAAAAATTCCAAGATTTTTATTGAAATGCTCTGTTCCATTATTAGTTCGAAGAACTTGGATTTGAGGCTGAAACTGAGTTTGAATCATAGAATAATTTTTTTTAAATGTTTCAGCAGCTTCAGATTTTTCTTTAAGAAGATAAATCCAAGTTTTTCGTGTGTGATCATCTATAAATGTAATGAACCATCTTGCCCCAGAATAACTTTTGACACGAGATGGTCCCCAAATGTCACTGTGAATTAAGGAGAATGGTTTGGATGGTATATAGTTCATAGTAGGATAAACAGATCTCTTATGTTTAGCCAATTGGCCAATTTCACGCTGGAAAACTTCAACATCTTTATTTTTGAATAATATAGGAAATAAATGTTTCAAATAACCAAAACTAGGATGGCCTAATCTATAATGCCATAACATTATTTCATTCTCTAAAGATAAGTAACTAGTGAAACATGGATTATGAACTTGTTTACATTGAAGATTTTCTGAGGTAAAGTAGTAGAGTCCACCATTTTCATGTACACCTCATTGGCCTGTGAATGATATTGTGGATGCGGTGAAGAAGAAATGGAAAGTTATTGTCAAGATAACTTTATGCCATAAAATAAAATGTGAAGCGAATAAATTGTTGCATGGTTCAATGAAAGATCATTATGCTAAAGTTGGGAGTTATTTATTAGCTTTAAGGAAAGCGTGTCCCATTTCATTGTTCGATATAACAATGGAGCCTAAATTGGTACAAAATCGCATGGTTTTCCAGAGGTTTTTGTTTGCTATGAAGGTCTCAAGTGTGAGTTGTTAAGTGGTTACCAAAGAGTAATATGTTTAGATGGTTGCTTTATCAAGACATTTTTGGGAGGGATGTTGCTAGTTGCGGTGGACAGAGATGGAAACACTCAAATGTTTCTTCTAGCATGGGATGCAATGAAGGGTGAGAACCATAGCTCTTGGGAGTGGTTTCTATCAAAATTGCAAATCAGTTTAGAATCATCAAGTGGAGAAGGTTATACACTTATACTAGACCAACAAAAGGTATGCTTTTCTTCGTTTTACCTTCATTCATAAAGCTATGTACTTTGTAAACATTATGTGTTAATTAACATTGTAGGATCTTGTAAATGTTGTAGCTAAAGTTCCACCGTCCACGAAGCACAGAAATTGTGCAAGACATATTTCAAAAATTGGCACTCCAAATTTAAGGGTGATGAGTTGAAAGGATATTTTTGGGAAAGTGTAAGAGCTTATAATGAGAGAGATTTTATCAAAGCTTTCAACAAGATAAAGATAGTGTCAACTTCAGCAGCCGATGCTTTTCTAGCACACACCCTTACAACTGTTTGCCAAGATTTCTTTAACAAGCACACGAAATGTGACACCTAATCTATATGCTAGAAGATATAAGATGTGCTCTTATGAAAAGACTTATAGTGAAAAGGCAATGGATGAAATGTATTGAAACTGACATAACTATATTAAATATATGTCCGAGGACAACCACTAAGTTGGAAAAGTAAAAAAAATAGCACACATTGTTTTGTCATTCCTTCTTCAGAAACACAATTTCAAGTAAGACATGTCATAATGAGCTAGTGATAGATTTGGAAAAACAAACATGCACATGTAGGAAGTGGGATGTAACGGGTTTCCCTTGCTGTCATGCAATATCTTGTATATTTTCATGAGAAAAAAGGCCGAAGATTTTGTTCATTGTTGCTACAAGAGTGAAGCATACTTAAGGAGCTACGCTGGGAATATTGCTCCATTAAAGGGAGAAAGATATTGACCAACATCAGATATTTTACTTGACCCCCCTCCTATCAAAGTAGGCTCTGGAAGACCGCAAAAGAAAAGAGGAAAGGATCCTTATGAGGATCCCAAAAAAGCAGGGAAGTTATCAAGACATGGAAGAGAGATGCATTGTGGTATTTGTAACTCAAAAGAGCACACCAAAAGAAAGTGTAAAAATAAATCTGATAAGCTGTCACAACAGCTTCCTAAGAGGCAGGGGCTAAAAAAGTATATAATGATGGTCAAAGTACATTTTCAAATAACCACTCATCAGTGGCCTAACCATCTAATAGGGGTAGGGGTGGAAGATGGATAAGAAGAGGAAATAATGGTGGCAGATTGAGACAAACTGTAAGAATTCATATATTCCTTGTGTTATTAAAAATGAGATTAAATGCGAGTAGATTAACTTCTAGTCATAATTCTTTGTTCAGATTCCAAGTAGACTCGGTATATACTATAACCCTTCAGATGGAAACCATACATAGTATGTACACTAGTTATTTAGCAAGTATTTTTATCTTTAAATTCTTTATCAATGTTTTAGCATTAATATATGATTAGTAATGTTGTGTTTTGTCACGCCCCAGACCACATCTAAGCGCGTGTACAATCGCCGTATGACTAAGTGACGTCACTCGCAAGTCAACGTGACATGATCATACAAGGCGTCCATGAACATAATCCATCCATACTGTAACACCCCCATTTTCCCCACCCAAATAAAATCACATTTTTAAATGAAACCATCTTTATGATTAAACATAATTAGAATACAGCGGAAGTCTTTAAGGGAAAAACAGGTGCGTCACCGCCACACTCAACCTATACATGATTGAGTGCACAGGCTATCCACCATAAGTTCAAATAACAATGAAATAGGTCTTAGGACAAAGTTTATGAATTACAAATTTAAACAACGATAATTAATCAAACTAGCGGAACACTCGGGCAGCAAGTACATCAATCTTCATAATCACAATCATCTGTACAATAGAGCAAAGAGAAGAAGACAAAAGAGACAAAAATTAGCTTTAGAGCTAAGTAAGATTCCACCCGAACCCGTAAAATAATATAATTTGGAAAATAGGTTTGGTATAGGTATATATATAGAAAATACCCTCTCATATCTCCAAAATAACTTCATGTCTCAAAATAAATTCTTCAATAGATAATGTCATTCATCAATTCCTCCAAAAGTAATACTTTAGATTTCTTTTAAGAGTGGGCGAAACTCAAGATTCCTCGAGCCCAACAAGTCGTTGTTATTTACGACTCATCCCGGAATTCCGGCTCCCACCGACCACCAATTTGGAAGCTGAATTTCTACCTTAAGTGTGCACACCCTCTAAAAGGGATTCCAAGCCCTCCGAGTAGTAAGAAATCCAAGTAGGCAGGATGTTTTCTACCACCTACTCACAAGGGACATTGTCCAGGGATAAATTAGGTAACTACTACTACAACCACCAAAGGACCTTTGGTCCTCAAATAAAAGCCCGGGATGTCTACCGGAGCATGTCATTGCCGGACTGGTTACCGACCCAAATAAATTTCACCAAAAGTAGTAGTAGTCCTAATCACCCACGCCTCGTGTTTCTCTCGAGACGTAAAAATATATTATGAAAAACTTTAAGTTTTTCCCAAAGTCATTCTTGTCACACTTTCCAAAAATATACTTTGTAATAAATATCAATCCACCAATATTCTTTAATAAAAAGAATATACATTTAATAATCCATAATAGATAATAATCCACCAATATCCATACATTCAAAATATTCATTCCATGTCAAACAAATAGTTTCCAATTCATAAATAGTCCACATAGTTCAAATATTGCATACATATAAATACGAGATAAAACATTTTTGGTTGACATAGAACTTACCTTAAATTGCGATAATCCTCTTAATAAAATCTCTAGCTTGGTCTTCACTTGAATTCTCCTTCTAATATATATCAAAATTCTAAATCAATAACTATTCTATTATTTTTGTTATTTCCTATCTATTCAACCTTTAGTTATTTTAACTTCATTATTCCTTCTTTAAATACAACTTTTAAGTTAGATCCATAAATCTTATTTAAATGTAAATTTTCAGTCCAACCTTATTATTTTCTTTAATCATACTAATCCCCTCCATAATTTACTTTAACTTATTTGGTTAATTAGTTAACTAGTCTAATTAAATTAATTACATAATAGTTTCAATATTTTGAATTTAAATAATCAATTTCAGTTCAATTTCAGTTTACATAATTTATATAATTTATTTAGTAAACCTTTGAATAATAATTTTCCGTAAGCAATAATTCGAAATATTAATCATTAATGATAACTTTAATTAGTTTAATAGTTTATTTATACTAACTAATCCAATTACCATAACTAATTCAATCCTCCAGATTATTTATTTGGCTAACTAAATTAATTTAATTAATTTCATCAACTAAATAAGTTTAATTATATAAATATAGTTAAATACATTAATCTAATTCAATTAAGGCAATCAATCAAATTCTAATTTCGTTTTAATTTTATATTTTTAATATAAAGTCCAAAAATATTAATACGTCCATAATTTAATTAATTTATCCATTAAACTAATAGATTTAGTTAAACTAGTCTAATGGAGTCGATTAACTAAATTATTAAGTACATATTACTTAATTAATTAGTTTGTATTAATCAACTAATTTTTATGAGTTCATATAGTTTAATAATTTATACGGAGTCAAAAAAGTAACAATTAAGGATGATAATTATTAATTTAATCACACTAATTTAATTAGTCCACTAGTTAAATGATTTATTTATTAAGTCCAAATATAGTCATTCATTTTTACTAGCTATCCCAACTTTATTTTCTTTTCTTTATTTTATTCCAAACCTCATTTTTAGTCCATAATATTATTTCCCATCTTAGTGATTTTATTTATTTCACCATTATTAATCAATTTTCTTATTTAATTACTTAACTAGTTTTATATGACCCAATTAAATTAAATAGCTTAATAATCGATTTTATAAATTTATAATAGTTCATAACTATATTTGGTGTCTATATTTGACCTAGGTTGTCCAGATATTTATTTTAGAATTATTTCCCTTATTTATTCATTTAATTCCATATCTCTATTAACCGGTTTAATTACAATTAAATATACTAATCATAATTTTTATTAATTACAAATGGTCCCAAATGTCCTAGTTAATCATATATGTAATCTAGTTTACTCCAATAATTATTTCGTAAATTATTTCGTCATTTAGTTAATTATTTACTAAATATGTACAAATTGGCCCGATTACAATTAAATCAATTAAAAATAGCTAAAAATATTATCTTTCAATTATGGTTGGTCCGAATATGTATATTTATACTAGATATTTAATTTATATTTTTCCAGATTTTATTTACTTCATTTACTATTTTATTTTTAATTTTTATTGAAACTGGGCCGAACCGGCCCAAGTACACGACCCAGCCCAAGAAGACTGGGTTGTCTTCTTCCCAGCTCTTCTCCGGGTCGGGTTTCCGGCGACCGGAATTACAAAAACTTCGGCGAGCTATAACTTGACTTACATGTAACGGATTTCAACGATTCAAGTTGCAAAATGATCCCGACGGCAAGACGAAGCTCCGCCACCCCTATCTAAGGCAAAATATCCGCTTTTTCTGAACACCCACTTCCACGACTTGTAACTCCGGCGAGCTCTAGGATGCTCCGGTGACTACGAATCGGTCTGGAATTTATTGGGGAGTATTCCTAGACCTCTCACGACCCTCCTCTATCGTTTTTAAGAAGTTTGATACCTAAAATAATATAGATATAAATTTTCCGGCGAGATTATGTATATATATGTATATGTATATATATAGCTTCTATCTCTCCGATTTGCAGTGTTTGGGATGGCTAAGAGGGTGTATTTATAGGTCTAGATGGTCCTTATGGTTTATTTTATTTATTTGATAATTGTATGAATAATAATAATAATAATAATAATAATAATAATAATAATAATAATAATAATAATAATAATAATAACAATAATAATGTATATGATAGGTTGGTAGTTGATGAACATGGCATGTGTATTGATTCATGATTTGATTCCCATTTATGCTGATGTTTAATTTTATTTTATTTTATTTTCTTTTATTTTAATTTTTACATATAAATATATATAATTATATATGTAAAAATATGTATATAATGTATATACATTATTTGGTAGGTGATCCTAGCATGTGTCATTGTTTTATGATCTAATATTTTCATTTATTAATTTGATGCTATTATTAGTAATTTTTAATATTCTTACTATTTTTATTTATTTATTTATTTATTATTATTTATTCCGTCATCTATATTTTATCTGATTTTTTTTTCTATTTTATTTTTTATTTTATTTTTTTGATGCCACATAAGTGTTTAATTTTATTGCATGTAGCATGCATATATTTTTATACACCAAGTATAATACAAAATATTTTTATATTACTTTCATTTGATTTATCAGATATAACTTATCTGATTTATTTATTTATTTATTTTTATTTCAAATTTTCAAGGTATCACATTCTACCCTCCTTAAAGAATGCTTCGTCCTCGAAGCATAAACTAAGACGAGAATTAAGTATGAAGATGAAGTATTACAAGTTTATAAGATGTTACATCCTACCCCCCTAAAAGAAAGGTTACGTCCTCGTAACCCAATACTTACCTTAGTTGAACAGTTCAGGATACCGTTTACGCATATCCTCTTCTGTCTCCCATGTTGCATTCTCGGTCAAATGGTTTGACCAAAGTACTTTTACCATCTTAACTTTCTTCTTCCTCGTCTCTCGGGTTTTAGTATCAAGGATCTCTACGGGTTTTTCTTCGTAGGATAACGCCTCATCCATTTCAATCACCTAATAATATAAGGGTTAGCTTATATTATTTCCAGTTTACTTTGGTTCATGTTAAGTTTAGGGTCTCTTACCTCAGGATTGATGATATGTGACTCATCTCGAACGTACTTCCTTAATTGTGATACGTGAAAGACGTTATGTACCTAGCACAACTCTGTATGTTAAGGATGAAATCTAATCGTTGAAAAGTATCTTGTTTTAAAATCGTTTGTTACCTTATCCAACTCTGTGGGTAGAGCTAATCGATATGCCACTTTTCCCACCTTCTCTAGGATGTCGTAGGGTCCGATGAACCTCGGGCTTAGTTTCCCTTTCTTCCCAAACCTCATTACTCCCCTTGTAGGAGAGACTTTGAGTAGAACTTTCTCCCCTATCTCGAATTCAGCTGGCTTCCTCCCAAGATCGGCATATGATTTCTGTCGGTCTTGGGCAGCCTTCATCCTCTCTTGGATGACTTTGACGTTCTCTATGGTATCTTGCAAGTATTGTGGTCCTAGAACCACCTGATCGACAATGTCACCCCAACATAAGGGACTTCTACACTTTTGACCG